GTAGAGCTGGATTTCAGATATTAACCCGTGTCCAGTCCTCCCTTTCTAGGCTCGATAGAGTTCAAAAGCGTCCCCGAATTCTTATATTCTACCCTCCAACTTCTTTCTCTCACATGCGGGATATGTGAGTCTCTCGCTGCTCTGTCGCTACTTCCATGTAAAGTGCTCGGATGAACTGTATTTCGTGGTTCCGCCAAGTCTAACCTTAACGGCTAGAAGCAGCCCTGCCACTTATGATGTAGCAAACCCCCCACATCCCCCCGCCCTATTTCATCAGTGAGAAGTAAGTTCCACTCAAACATTTTCTTCCGACGAACCAATGCTCTGTTTCCCCGATCACTACAATCTTAACCTGTTTAAGTCTAGAGTTAACCCTCTTATCTATATAAACTACCCCTTAACGTAACCGTCTACCTCGAGTGGCTCCTGGGCTTTGTACAGGGCGAAATTTATCGTAAAAAAAAAGCTTGTGGTTTTCAGTGCTGCACGCCAACATTATCGCTGCCACTTTGACTCTCCATGGTTTGAAATTAAGGAAATATTTTTGGTTAGTTAAAGACACTTTGAAAGAAGCAAGAATCGTTTCTGATCATAATTCCTATGACCAACGAATGTGTTCGATATTTTGTTTTTTCTTTTTTCTTTCTTTTTCTTTGGTTAAAGTAACGCTTCATATGAAAGGAAACTTTTCTTGCCATTACTTACCTGTTATGTCAAACTGTTCGTTGAGAATGTGGATCTTTCCGCGTGTTGGACCTAAGATGGAAAAAAAGACGAGCATGCTGTTTATTCTTTTTTTTTTGTACCATCTTGGGTGAGGAGGAAGTGACGCAAGTCGTTAATGATTGGTGGCATTTATTTAATGGGTCCATTTGTTGCGTGCTTGGCGTATTTGTTTTTGCTTCAGGATCGCCTGCCGGAATAGTACTTTTTCGGTAGGGTCTCTTGGGCGAACAAGTATGATGTTGGAAGACCCGAAACTTGTCATGATCCCAAGTCATAACATCACTGACGAGGCGATCCTGTGTACCTCGTTGAGTGTTTTCATGACAAGTAGTTTAATGTAGACTACATTCGTCAGGGCCGTCCAACGCTGCGTCGCACTTAATATTTTCATGCGTCCCATTGCACCCTAAAATCTTTAGCTATATTTTCATTTACTTTAGTAAGGTATGTCGAGAAAATATTCTCAGATAGTGCTAGTAGATTCACTTCCCCATTGGACTAAAAGGGGGAGGGGGAAAAAGCCTTTGCCGAGATACACCGACTGATGCGTGGGGCAAGAAACAGAGCTAAATAAAAATTATTTAGCTTATCTAGAAAACTGTTATGTATGTAGGGTAGTACATACTGCTGTCAACAATCCTTTTCATGCATGAAAAACATCAAAAACTGCTGAAAGAAATAGGTTGAGAGATTCGAACTAATATTCTTAGAATAAAAACTGGTTCCATAAGAGCAGATATTGTAAATATTTTAAAAGAGAAGCAATGTCAGAAATCACATTGAATTTATTTTATTTTGTGCAAATTTTTTTTACTGTCAATAATACAGTATTTTTTGTAATTTTTTCTGTTAGCCAATTTTCCAGCACTCTCCTAATAAATGAGGTAATTAATAAATAAGACAGTCTAAAAATTATTTCAGAGATGATACATTTGTTTTAAAGATGGAGGGTTTAGTGCAGAGATAGCCGCACTGCAGCTCGCTTAATACTTTCATGCGGTCCATTGCATCGTAAAATCTTTAGCTATATTTTCATTTACTTTAGTAACGTATGCTGAGAAAATTATTCTCAGATAGTGCTAGTAGGTTAACTTCTCCATTGCACTAAAAGGAGACAAGACAAAGGCCTTTGCCGAAACACACCAGCTCGTGCATGGAGTAAGAGCCAGAGGTAAATATACATGATTTAGTTTATCTAGAAAACTATATGCATGTGGGGTACTTACAGCTGTGAACATTTTTCTTTTGCGTGCATGAAAAAAATCAAAACTTCTGAAATAAATAGATTGAGTGGTTCCAATTTAACTAACATTCTTAAAATAAAGACTAGTACCCTGAAAGCAGATATTAACAATATTATAAAAGGAAAGCAATGTCAAAAATTGAATTTATTTTATTTTGTGTATATATAATTTATTTATTTTTTACTACTAATAATACAGTGTTTTTTTTTTTATATTTCCTATTAAATTTCCTCCTGAGTAAAACGTTAAACTACATCCGAGTCCTGGGTAAGACGTTAAACTACGTCCAGCAGCAAGGCCTCTAATCAAGAGGTTTTGAGGTTTGTGGAACCACCTCTTAATTGCTGGTTTTCCCAGGTCCACCCTGACCCGGGGTGGTATCACCTGCTAGGGTCCCAGCTATGGGTAAATAGTTAACTATTACCAGCAATACTTTTTTGGAAAAAATTATTACCAGCAATACAATTTTGAAGGAAAAATATTACCAGAAACAGATTTTTGACAAAACAAAATATTACCAGCAATTAAGA